GGTTAAGGCTGAATCCAACCCCATACCGCTTTTCAAATGGCTATCGCGTAAACAGTTGAAATATATGGGACGTGTTTTTTTTAATTCTTTCCATCGGTGTCCAAATTCACATTTATGCTTTGATTTGGTTATCGGGTAACCTTTTTTCACTCAGAGAATCTCTAAATGGGATTCAACGGAGGCATATCTGCAATTTATCACAGAACTCTGAAGACGACACTTGGACTTGTTTGATGGATTCTACTACTACTAAAGTGTCAATAAACATAAATGGAACTTTGTAGAATTCAACAGGATCTTTTTCACCGTGGCTTGAATCTTTATTTTGGACGTTGTTTGTACAAGAATACTACTTGGTAGTGGCATTACCATAGCAAAAGAACTTAGCATATAGGAACGAAGTTTTGTAGACAGGCACCATTCTGAAATATAAGTTTGAGTGGAGTGAACTGTGGTCTTATCTGTATAGTTTAATCACAGTGGTAGCATTGGATTTTTCTGCACTAGTGCGGAACATAGAGTAAGTCTTTTAACTCAGGAGTGTATCTGCTAGGATGCGAAAAACACAGATAAGTGATATGCTGGATTTCACTTGTTTTGATGTGTCGACATCACTACCTAACATGTTTTGGTTATCTTGTCGCTTTTTCTACTGCTCAACGTTCAGTTTGCGGTGGAAGTGTCAGTACCTAGTCACCATAAAGAATTGATTCCATACATTTACAGATTTTACCTTGTGGTTTGAGTGTTGACTTGATGCAATGCGGCTTGTGGAGGATCAATTTTGTTTTCAAGGACAAAACTCTTAACAGTGATGCAGTATTATGACTGCACACTGTTAAAGTTTTCCATTCATGAATACTCCAATGAAGCTGAGCGGCATAATTCGGGCTTGAATTTAGGAATTGGTTAGGATAGGAGATAGTATGGAAATTAGTATGGATATATGAGTGTAAGTTCATATCCAATATGAGTAGCATACTCAGTTCTTAATTCTATGATTGATATTCTGATGGTTAGGGTCCAATGTTGTGAAAACGACCAGATTATTGATGGAGTGTAACATAACCCCTACCTAGTTTATACTTATTTTAGGAAAATTTCCACTATCAAACCCTACAGCTTTAAGATCAGATTCGTCAGACACACTTTTAGAATTGTATGACTGTATCTTAATTTTGTATTATTAATAAATACAAAATACATTCTAATAGATGCGCACTATATCACGTTATGTTTTGTATATCCTACCTAACCATATTATCATTATATTAAATTCTAATAAAGAACAAAGTGCTAAGAAAAAAATCAGTCAGATTGATTTTTAATTATCTAGAATTTTAACATAACTCAAAGATAAAGTAATCAAAATCATGATATTATTTGTTTATTTATTGACGCCATTGGTCTACTATAAGTAGATAAAAATAAGCAAGCTTTGCAGAGTAACATATTTTTATCCTTTTACATTTTTAATTATATATACTCAAAATAAGGTATCAGGAGTTATTTAGTTCCTATAATTTGAACGTGGCAACCAATGAGCATATTTTCTTCATTTTTAGATGTATTGATTGAAACCTCTTTGCGGACAGAGTATTACTATTACAATGGCACGAACTGGGGAGAGCCATCCAAAAGAAGGTGAGAATCAGATGTTAAGCACGAGAAAAAAGAGATGTCATTTTTGCCTTTTAACTTGTGGTGTAGTTTGGAAGCATGGTGCTGATAAGGAAGGTGAATAACTCAAGGGCACTTCCACCACGAATCGATATCTTGCGGTGGCAGAGTGACTCCCTTCCTTGGAACTCTCTTGTTTAGGAGTGAATTTGCGTTAGATATTTTCATCCTAACCGTTGAGTAACGATATCATGAAGATTTGTATATCGTACATCCATCACTAGGTAAAGCTTGTGGACTAAACAATGGTGTGACTATTTCTTCTCTTATGATATCGTTATCTACAAAAAAATTAGGTCCAGAAAGGACAACATCTCCCCTATTACTTTTCCTTTATACAATTATCCTGTAAATCATTACTTTTAGTTTTAGCTAGAAGCAGAATTATCTTGTTTGCTATCCTTCCCATAACATTCACTAAGCCACTTTTCTTCATTGAAGTTGGCCAGCCTTATCTTCCAGTCCTTGTGAGGTCCGGCATCGAGCCCGACTTTTTTGAAGTTGATCTTTCACTGTTCATGTTAGTCTTGACGTGTTTTGTTTGTCTGCGCCTTTAACGATTGTTGATGGTTTAGCAACAAGAACCGTGTAGAATTTCATTTCATATTTGCTATACTAATTCAAGTGTAATATGGTCCGTTGATCAGGAGCAGAACGAGGCGTCACTCAGCATTGGCTATGGGATTGTTAAGGGTTTAAAGATCCGACAGGAATCGATCTCGATTCTCTCCCCTCATTTACTCGGAGAACTTCAGTTCAAAGCCGCTTTAAGAACTGCCACCGCACGTAGCACCAGGTAGGAGGAACTCACTGACCAACATTATTTACGACTGAGAAGCGGTTTAGAAAATTTTTAAATGCGTGAGAATTTATTACATAGTTTTCTATTTTTCGAACTTAAGCGTTAACTATATTCTACTCTTATCCCCTTCCTCTTCCTTTTCCACTTTTTATTCCATTTTAATTTATTTAGATACAGCGATAACTCACTTTGTGTTCAGTTTATTCAGAGACATAAATAATAGCTTCTAAAATTCCTACAAAAAAATAGACTAGAACAATGACATCATTAAAACCCTTTCTACGAAGGCGGTGGGGAAGTGATATTTCTAGGGCTCGTCTCCGGCGGTCGTTTGTCGTTGGGTTTATTGGCATGCTTTTCATAGTCCTTTGGCTATTTTACGTTGGTGATTCGAACCAGATCTCTTTTGAACCCTCCGTGCTTTTGAAAAACGAAATTCAAGAAATATTTGTTCGAACCACAGGGCCTCGCGTCGTCATCTTCGTTATGAGTGATAAAATTGATGATACCCTTTGCTACTCAGTGGGCTCAGCCTACCTAAGCGGGTTTCCCGTGGTGGTATCTGGCTACCAAATGGAATACAAAGGGTTTCTATCCAAGTTCGATTTCATGGATAGGGCCATCAGAAATGCGCATCTGAATCCGGAAGATATCGCCATTTTAATGGATTCCGACACGGTTTTTACGGGTGTGGACATTCATCCATTCCTCGATCGTTTCATTTCGCAGTCCGCCGAAACACCGGAGGAGTTGGACGCGCTGGCTGTGCGACAGGGCCGTGGGATGGCACCGATCGTAGTTAGCGCTGAGGCTGGCTGTTGGACACCGAACATATTCAAAGATGGGCCTGATTGCATCACTGGATTTGACACGGTTTATGAAAAAGTTCAGAAGTATACCACTGCACACCTAGAGCATAAGCTCGTCTCGTCTTTTGATTTATCATCTCAACGGTATCTCAACGCTGGCATTGTGATTGCGCGTGTGTGGGCGTACAGGGAGTTAGTGCAGAAGGCGCTTAATTTAACCAAAACACAACCTGCAAAACATAAGCCCGAAAATGGATGGCACTGTGATCAGTCTATTTTAGCAGCGCTGTACCTGGATCTCTTAACCTGGGAGGCCGAACGGAATGTTTTTTCGATGCAATTGCATGAGCGCCAGGCGGCACGGTCCACTTACGGTGTGCGTGCAGGTTTCATGAGTTTAGATTATGCCAATGAGCTTTCAGCTCCTCGCACGATGGTTTTAATGCACCTAACTGAAATGCACGATAAACACTGGGCGAAATATTTGCCACTGTATGAAATTGGGCACCCACACTCAGAAAAGATAAACGATTTCAAGGTGGTAGCTCAGTTTGTGAGTAACCTTTACAAGCGAGCGTACGCCGCACACGGTGGGGAGATTTACACGAGGCTTGCCGTGCCCAAGTGGGTGGACGGAAAAAAGACTTATACGGAGACCTTTATCAGTCTCACACCACCTCTTTTGGCAACCGAGCTTAGGTCCATAGATGTAAGTAACAACAACGTGCGTCGTACGTTCCCAGTGATTTATCATGCGGCAGGTGTTGAGGCAGGCTACACGAAGGTGGGTAAGTTGGAGCATGGCGCTGTAGGTGCACAGTGGCTTGTGCCGATGGTGCACAACCCCAAGATGGAAAAGAATACTATGGAATACCTGGCATCCATGCCGTTGTTTCTATCGACACATAACTTTATTATTCGGGATTCTTATCATGCTAAATGCGGCTTCCCATTTAGAGGAACTATTGAAAGGGCTCTAAGTGTCTGAGCCATTTTGCCTTTTGACAACATACACT